GCACCTGTGTGTAGAAGATACACTGACCTTAATTCAAAAGTGTAGAAGTCATATCCTTATTAAGATTTTGCCTTTCTTGAAAATCACAAGTGGACTTTGAACATGAATTCCCTCAGGAAAAGAGAATTCTTCAATTGGGCAGTAATAATGTAGACTGTAGAATTTTCATAATATACTGGCAATTTCAGACCAGTTCAACATATACTGCTAAATTAAGTCAGCACAATTCTGCAGAATACTAAAGCACTTACAAACATTAGAAACTGATGCCAACTAATAAAAATACCTTGAAAGAGCCCTTGCATTTCTCTATTAATATTAATACTAGCATATTAATACTAGCCAGATATAATAATACAGTGACTGAGTTGCATATTAATACTAGCCAGAAATTATGATCCAGTGACTGATTTTTTTTCATGTTGCTATGTAGGAAATATTATGCACACACACACACACACACACACACATTCCTGTGAGTACATAAGTATGTGTTTTTGTTTTTCCTTTTGTCCTGTTAGGAAAAGCACTAATAGAGAAACACTTACTTTGAACCTCAGCTTCAACTTTCCTAGGTTCAGTTACAGTATCCGCAGTGTGTCACTTTTCTCAGTTTTCTCTAAATACTCTGGAGGAAATGTGACACCTATAGTAATATGGATGGCAGGTTTAATTACCACATCTTATACATGATGTGCTGGCCATCCAAGCCTTCAACAGTTTTATAGACCAAAGATATACATTATTGTCTCAAAACTGTTTGCCACCTGTTTTCTCAGTATTAGAAAACAAGTTGAGATTTTTAATCAACTGGTCTAATATTGAACAATAGCCAGTTTTGTGCAGAACTCTGCAGTTTGTAAACCTGCACCATGATTACTGATATTCTGGTTTACGTTCATAGCTCCACTACAAGTATTGGTACATCATTTACAGAAATATGTTAGATGAATGCAGAGTGATAAATCTGAGAACTCTTTAACACTTCATCTGACAACAATGAGGATGTTATCTGAGGAATGAAGATTGATATAGAAATTGATTGATTAAAAAATTAAATGTACATGGCTTTATTTTTTTTTAGAGAAAAGGGGCTGAACATTGCAAAGTTCATGACATTTTAATTTGCTTTGCAAACAGTAAATATGGATGAGATAGCAAATATTTATAACATCCAAACTTTAAAGGAAAATCTATTAGGGTTGAAGTAAGTTTCCTGGTCACCTATTGTAATAGTACTATAAAATCTCCTAAGTCCTGTAGAATTTAATGATACATTTTATATGTGTACATTCTTGATGTTTGGCTAAGAAGCAAATATCTAACTATCTGTGTAAATATGAAGTCTAGACTGCTATTTTCATGACCATTACTAAGTATTTGTACAAAGACTTTTTTTTCCTTTTTTGTATTCCTTAAATCCTAGTCTTGTTCAATAAAGGGAGAAGTAAATAGTAAGTATTTAATCTATCTTCAGTCTCTAAGTTTTTAGTTCACCTCTCAGTCTAGCCCTAATATTTGCACTATAGATTCTAGTTGTTTATTGATAAACAATACCACAAGCCTCATTCTCAGCTCCAAAACTCCTCAGCTGAACCTTGAAAAGTACCTTGGGTCTCTTTGACTATTGCAGTTATAGCTAACCTATTTTTTTTAAGCTTCCTAATTGACGATTTGTCAGAAGTTTGAAGTTTTGGTCTTGTCTGATTATAATTAGAAGATTTTTTTTGAAAATGGGGGACAAGTGGGTATGAGGGAGGGGGAAAGGAACTAATGAATATTATACAAGAAAATACAAGGAAACTATTAAAAATATGGTTAAGAAGGACTGATAAATAGCCAGACAGTAGTGGCTTACACCTATAATCTTAGCTACTCAGGAGGCTGAGATATGAGGATCAGTTCAAATCCAGTCTGGGCAGATAAATCTAAGAGGGTTTTTAAATCCCAATTAACCAGTGAAAAGCAGGAAATGGAGGCATGGCTCAAGTGGTAGAGTGACATTTTGAGCAATAAAGCTAAGCGGCATTGCCCATGCCTTGACATCAATTTCTAGTACCAGCTTACACATAAATAGTAAGAAGAAAGAGGGTCATGGACCAGGAGAATTTAATCATACGCATGTTGTAAACATCACAATAAAACTCACTTGTAAAATTACTTTATTCTAATAAAAATTAAACTTCAAAACGAAGATTTGTTCTTAGGCAACTGGCCTGAGTGATTCTTTCCAAGTAAGTATGATAGTTATTCTAAAAGTTGGTACTGTCTCCCAGGGATATAAACTCAGTATTGCAGTGTAAGCTCTGGCTTCTGGCCAGGACATCACCAGTCATGGCCCAATTCTAGAATACCATGGGAAAATAAAATGGCTTTTCTATTTGAGTAGCTATAGCTCTGATTATAGATCAAAGGGAAGGGTACCGATATTGTTGGTAACTGACTTTGTGAATTGTGTATTTGGAGTGACTATCATTAGCCATGATCTTAATACTAAAAATAAATACAGAAAGCCAGAACCTCCTGTGTTCACCTACTTTTCAATGTATTTCCTGGGCTACAAGATGATTCTTTCCTAATTAGGTTCCAATCATGTTTAATAACTTAATTTTAAGTTACTAAACTTATTTTAATAATGACTAATTTCTACTAACATTCAGTTTTTTAGTTTTCCATATGAAATATTACTATTTTAAAGAAAGTCAACTTATGAGATTAGGACTTTGTGCTGTTTTCTGTTGCTATTTTGGATATGCAATACTTTATGTTCTATAACTTATTTATCAAATGAACTAAATTATGGTTTTATTGGGAGGCCTTTACCTTGAAAACAAATAGTTTTAACTTTTGAAATTGAAATATATGGTATAGACCAGGGATCATCAAACAGCAGCCCAGCAACAGGGTTCAAAACCAGCCTACCACCCATTTTTGTATATAGTTATAAGGGGACACACACAACTCAGGGTTGTTCATTTATATATTATCTATAGCTACTTTCACACTTTAAGACAGAGTTAAGTAGGTATAACAAGGATCATGATCCACAGAGCTGAAAGTATTTCTTACTTTGCTGATTTTTTTCTTGGTCTATCTTTACAAAATACAAACTGGTATGCAGTTTAACTACTTCCTGAGTATATTTAAGATAGAGAAAATTACCAAATTCTTGTTTGGTTTTGGGTTGGAAGTAAAAATAGTGAAATGTGTAGCATTTATATATATTGAGTTACATGAAATTACTTATTAGGGAGAAGCAAACTATTTTAAATTTTTATTGATATTTTTAAATGAGTAGATGTTTGTGTCTTTATTAAAACAAAGCCAGTACTTTAAATATTCTTGCATATGTAAAATAATTTAGGGAAAGTTGTTAAAAAAGAAGAATCATTTTGTAAAACTAACAGTCCAATTAGGAAATATCCAGTATAGGCTTTCCTAACTAAACTGTAGGTATTTCACTAATGGATGGATGCCACGGATGGATTTTATTCTTTAATATAATTAAACTTTGACTTTTTACTCACAAATTTCAATACATATAAGTTTCCAGAAGGATTTCTATTGCATTAAGTAATGTGCTATGTATAAACTTTTCCAGAGAAAATTATTAGAGACTTCCAAGTGTAAGAATTATTCTTTCAATTTTTTTTTTAATTCAAAGCCACATGCTGTTAGGGAATAAAAAAAGAAAGAAAGAATAGCTATAATGCAGCTCTCCTTTTAACTTCTAGTTGAAAGCCAGATATATTTTGTTTGAAGTTACATGGCTTTGTTACAAATAGATGGCATAAAAATGCTCTCAACTTTCTTATGATTCATCTTTTTATTTTAAAAAGTGTGAATTTGTTCTATTTTGCTTTTGTTTATTTGTTTCCTGATTGCTGTGCAAATTCTAATTGAGTGCCAGTGAAATATCCAGAATTTTTTAGAGAAGTTAAAAAAGATGGTAGAAACAACAATATACAAGTGTAGTGTAAATTTAAAAAAAAATAACGTAAGTTCCTCTGCTCATCCTTTTGTTCTATGGCAGCAAAAAGGTACTTTAGAAGCTTTCTGGAGGGATAATTTCAGAGAAAAGCGTCAAAGTATCTTGAGTTCTGGACTTTGAGTGGAATGCATCATAGTTTAACAATAGATTGAAATTGACTTACATTTTGTGTATACACATTAAACTGAGGGGCAAAAAGAACAGCCTAGGACTTGTAAACAGCCATGATTATTATAATTTTATGTGATACTTCTTTTTTTTTTTAATTTTATTTTATTTTATTTGAGAACATACTGTACAGAGGGGTTACAATTACATGGGCAGGATAATGCATACATTTCTTACCAAGCATTGCAGCCTCCTCCTTTGTTTACCCTTCACCTCCCTTCCCAGCCTCCCCCCTCTCCCCCACCCAATCCTTCCCCCCCCCCCCACACTGACATTGTAAAGCTCATTTTTGACATGACATTTTGTACTTCTCATTGTTGCAACAGGTCCACCTGAATCCTTAAACGACTTGTTTGTCCCCATCAACCTGTGTGGTTCTTTCTACTAGGAGATTATTCTACCCTTCTTATGAATGGAAAACAAGACAGCTTTCTGCTATACCATCCTTATTATATAAGAAATGACAACTGTATTCAGTGAGATTTGCTCTTCACTGAGTATGTGTGAGACTTTGATATAACTATGTACAGAGACTTGCACATAATAAGTGGACAAAATAGACTTACTATTTCTTGTATGAATGAAGAAGAGGGTGAAGCAGCCATTTAGAGCCTACTCTGGATCCCTGGGAATACTAAATTTCAGAAACCATCCCTGAAATAAGAATGAAATAAAAGAAAGGAGAGAAAAACAAGTCCTCCCATTGCCAATTGACATGTTGTTTTTTTTTTACATTTTTTTATTTTTATTTTTTGTGAACATACTGTACAGAGGGGTTACAATTACATGGGCAAGATAATGAGTACATTTCTTATCAAGCATTGCAGCCTCCTCCTTTGTTAAAAATATGGAACGCTTCACGAATATGTATGTCATCCTTGCACAGGGGCCGTGCTAATCTTCTCTGTATCGTTCTAATTTTTTTAGTGTATGTGCTGCCGAAGCGAACACCCAATTGACATGTTTTAATGGAAAAAAAAACAGGCAAAAAAATGGGAGTATGTATGTATGTATGTATGTATTTATTTATTTTTGGTCATAGGGCTTGAACTCTAGGCCTGGGCGCTGTCCCTGAGCTCTTCAGCTCAAAGCAAGCTCTCTACCACTTGAGCAACAGCGCCACTTCCAGTTTTCTGGTGGTTAATTGGAGATAAGAGTATCTCGGCCAAAGCTGTAAAGTTTGTTTTTCGACATAACGACTTGTACATCTCATTGTTGCAATGGGGGGTGGGGAGATATGGGAAGGGATGGGAAGGGTAAACAAAGGAGGAAGCAACAATGCTTGATAAGAAATATACTCATTATCTTGCCCATGTAATTGTAACTCTTCTGTACGGTATTTTCATAATAAAAAATTAAAAAAATAAAAGTAAAAAAAAAAAAGAGTATACCGGACTTCCCTGCCGGGCTGGCTTTGGACCGTGTTCCTCAGATCTCAGCCTTCTGAGAAGCTAGGATCACAGGCGTGAGCCACCGGAGCCTGGTTGGGAATTTTTATGAGTAGAAGAAAGGTGTTCCAAGAAGAAAAAGCAATATACTACTGCCATACACATAAAGGCACAGGTGATTTCAGATATTTAAATGCAGACACACAAGGATTCATAGCATTTAAGAGCAGGCTAAACTACACTAATCCATAGTGGTCGATACTATCAGTAGTAGCCTGGGTTGAAGGTTGGTTAGTGACTCAGGAATGACAATGGAACTTGCTGAGTAATGGGAGTATTGGAGATCTTAATCTTGATGGAGGCTCCTCTGTAAGTGTGTGTGAGTGTGTGTGTGTGTGTGTGTGCGTGCGCAAACATAAAATTAAGCCTCATCTTTATATTCTATACTTAAGATTTGTGAACTTTGTACTTCAATACAATTTAAATCTTAATAATATTGAAAATAGGTCATGAAAGAGACACTCAATTTAACATGAATGTTTAAGAGCGTCCTTGGAAAGAGAATACAGCAAAGCCTTGGTCTAAAAGCACTCTGCTGAGCTTAGCATTGAAGACATTTCTGAATAAGGATATTAATATTAATTTTTGCTGCAAAACATTTCATACCCCAAAGGATGCTTAGCATGCAGTAAAATCACATCTATTAAGCTATAGCAAGGTGAAGGCTGCTGAGCACAATTTTGTTGATTCTTTGAAGACTTACCAATTAAAAGCAACGCCTTTCTTTTTGTCTTTCCAGACTGGCAGATTGCTACTCTGGCTTTGCTCCTGGGTGGTGCTGCCATCATTCTCATTGCATTCCTGGTGGGTTTGATTTCCATCTGCGTGGGATCTCGAAGGCGCTTCTACAGACCTGTTGCTGTTATGCTCTTTGCAGCAGGTAAATATATTCATTACTTTCAAAGCACTATTAAAGTTTCATGAACCTTTCTACCGTCTTCCCTTCTCATGCAGAAGCTGTATGTGTTTGCCACATTACATAAAAATTGAGAAGCATTTGTTATATTTTAAGGTAAATTGGCTGAAGGTTTATCTTATCAGTTTTCAACAAATTAAGCATTTCACAGAGCACAGTGGAAACTTCTAACTCAAACATGAATAAATAATAGTTCTTGACAGGGCTATTGCCTTAGGAATTGGGCAGATGTATTTACAGTCTTTTTTTTTTTTTTTAACCTTTGGAATATTTCCCCCTATCCTGGTCCCCTTGGTTCTTAAAGCAACATCTTTTTTTTGTTCTTTTTTTGTTTTTTAATTTTCAGACATGTAAGTGGAAAAAAAAATCCAAAATGTGCACCCTACGAGGCATATTATCTCTTTAGGAATACTCATGGTTATACTGAAAAATTGTGTCATTTAGCTTGAACCAGCAGACAAGTTAATTATATGAGGTCAATTGTATATCCATTAATTCTACAACCACCCTTCTGTGAAGCACAGCTTGAATTGAAATACCAGCCAAAGTAAACTGAAAGACAAAGAGAATTGTAGAAAAGGGACCTGTAGACTAAAAGCCCAAGACATTATTTGATGTGAGCTTTAATTTTCATTTATAAGAATATCCGTGAATATATTATTCTTTTTGACTCAAACTGCAATATTCTTTCGGTGCCTTCAATTTACCTGTCAGTCAGATCTGATTTGAAGACTGCAAAATAAGCCCCTGTGACTGTCAATAACAAAGACACTGACAGAACCATCTAAGCTGCTAGATAGATTTTTAAAAGCTGTTTAAAGATTGGAATAGATGAAATTTCTCAGGATTTGAAGTATAGTTTGTTCTAAAAATATAAAATCCAAAGTGTTCTGCTGCCCTCTGCTGTTTGTGTTCATCTTCTTATACCCACAAAGATTGGTTATAATGCAGGTGGCACAAAAACAATGGGCAAAAGGAACACCATAGTGTACTTAATTCAGATATTCAATTAATAAACTTGCTGAAGAACACATAGAAATGAGTGGCAGACATGTGAGTCATTCATTACCCACTCCCTCATGCAGTCATTCAACTATTTCTTGGATGCCTGTAATATACCAAATATTATTCTAAGATAGCTGTAAAACTGGCCGAAATGTCACAGCAGATATTTTCTAACAAATTCAAAAGCATAGTTATAGAAAACATTTTGAAAACTTAGGTACTGACAACAGTGGTATTATTTTATTGCTGTTATGTGTAATAAAAGCCTCTACTGTAAATGATTTGCTACAATATGAGGATTCCTCTAAAGATTCATCACTATTCTTTAGTTCATTTCTTAATTCACTCCCTCTGTGTGTGTGTGTGTGCATGTGTATGTGCACGTGTGTGTGTGTGTGTGTGTGTGTGTGTATGTGTGTGTGTGTGCTGGCCCCAGGGCTTGAACTCAGGGTCTGGATGCTGACCCTAAGCTTCTTTTGCACAAGGCTGGCTCTCTACCACATGAGCCATACTTCCAATTCTGACTTTTTGTGTTTAGCTAGAGATAAGAGTCTTATGGACTTTATTGACTGGGCGGACTTCAAACCATGATCTTCAGATTTCAACCTCCTAAGTAGCTAGGATCATGGGCTTTGGCTGCCAGCACACAATTAAATTTAAGTATTTTAAATGTACTATACATAATAATTGATCAGTTAAAATAGGATTTAAAATTTTATTATCTTTAAATAGTTGTACAAAAGTTTCAATTCAAGATGTCCACTCATACGTATAATATATCATGATCAGTGTCACTACTTTCATCATTTTTCTCCTACTCCCATCTATCCCAACTCCACCCATCTCCTTGAGTTACCTACCTCTATTTCCACATATGTACATGATATGTGTACTCGGGGTGGATTTCCATGGCAATTATCAGGCAGTTTAAAAAAATAAATTCCAGGAAATAAATATGTCTTGTCTGAAATAGGATTGTTCAATAAATTATTCTGAGTGTTACATGACTCTTCAAAACTGCATTTCTATTTTGAATAAGTTTTAGCCCTTTCTTATTTTAGGATAATATTAGAGATATTCTAGTTGTGCATTATAAATATTCAGTATTATTGTACATTCCTAGTTATTATTCTATTTAGTCTTTACCTCAATGTATGATGGCAAATATAGAATCTATTAAACAATCCATTGTTGATGCCATCTGTTATGAACATATTTAGAATAACAATGGGTTGTTTCCATTTTTATCTAAAATAGTATCTGTACTTTCCCAAATATATTAAGTGAAGTAAGCCAGGCCCAAAGAAACATAGGCCCCATGGTTTCCCTTATTTGCAATAAGTAGTATGTCTGAAACAAGCAGAAACGGTTAGATAAGTTGATGTTAGGCGAAATGAACCCCAAGATAAGGACTCAAATGGTTTTACTTTCTTGCTATTGTTTCTAACATATTTATAAGATGATTTCTTTGTTGCTTTGTATGTCCCTCCCCCATGGTATAACCCCTGTTTTCACTGTATTTGATGTTGGTATAATTTGTGGAGGGGAAGGGAAAAAACAAATTGTTTAAATAGGGATACAGGTGGACCCATTGCAACAATGAGATGTACAGACATGTCGAAAAATGAAATTTACAACTTGGGGGGGGGGAAGTGGGGCAGGGGAGGGCAGGGATGGGAAGGGGAAACAAAGGAGGAGGCAACAATGCTTGATAAGAAATGTACTCAATACCTTGCCCATGTAGTTGTAACCCCTTTGTACAGTATTTTCATATAAACAACATTAATAATAAAAAATTATGAAAATACATGTTGGTTGTAACAGAAAATAGTGTTGTAAAGGAACACAAGTTGATGGGTTTAGCTGAGATAAAAGTTTGACTTAGCTCTACCTTCCACATATAAAATAATGAAAGGAATTGATACAGTAACATTCATATAAAGTTATTTTACCTTCTGAGATCTAAAATGAGCATTATACTGCAATTTTTTAAAATGTATATGTGCTGAGATTTAACTTTACTCACTCCCTTTTCACACTGATTATGGAATATCATTTTTTGAAACAATCATCAATTTTGTACTCACTGTGAAAAATAAAAAGTAGTGGTTATTTGCAATATGCTATGCTATGAAAAGTTTTCTCTTTCCCATTAGAAAAAGTCACCAAAGATTTGCTGGTACTGATTTCTGGAAAATTATTAAATAATTATCCATTCTTGAAAAAGATTCGTAGTAATGGTGTTGGAATTCAGAGCCCTGTGCTTCCTAACTATGTGCTCTTATCGTTGAGCCATGCCTCCAGTCCTGATTTTTGCTGGTATTTTGCTGGCTTTCTGTTCAAATGCATGCTTGGGCATAGTCCATCTGGCTTTCTTATAGTGAGGATAAAAGAAAAACACCACTGGATTCAGTTTTTTTGTTGAGAAGGGGTCTAGAGGACTGTTTTTTCCTCCTCAGATTTGCCTTGAACCATGAGCCTTCAGTCTCAGGCTCTCATAAGCCAGCAGTACTCATTGACGTAAACATAAGATAGGAAAAATTGGAAAATTTGCCTGCTTGAAGCAGTAATAGTTAAAATTATGATTGTCTATTTTGCTTGCCTATTTCTTAGTAAACATACTTACTGAAGTGGTTTGTAGATCTCACTTGTAGTTCTGCTTAGTGATTCTTTGTTTAGTGATTCTTTGTAAGTGGGTATATGGGCCCATTTTCCTCTTTTACTTACCATGTGCTTGATAATACTCTGCATTTTTCTCTTCTCAAAAGGTTTAAATAACAAGCTTTGTGACAATAAGCAATGTCTTGGTGCTCACACACATGGAGAATGATATGTATCTCAAAAATGAAATGTTATTTTCTTCTACTGAGTTGTACAGTACATAAACTCAAAACAGACACATCACTAACACTTTGGAAGATCTCTGCCCAGAATTACATACTTTCTTAATATCATGTGGTATGCCTAGTACTCAAAGGCATTCAATAAATAGTTTTGGAGTGAATAACGGAAAGATGACTAAACTGTATGGGGAAAAACAAGCTTGTAAATAAGTAAGTACAACTTAGGTTTTAAAAGCCATTCTGTGATCAGGGTTTATGAAGAAACAAATTTCACATGATCAAAACAATTAAAAAATCTAATAGCAACTAAGGTAATTTTTAATGTTTATTTATTGATTTAACAATTTTGTGAGGCTCAATATAATAACTTCATGGTAAATCATACATTTTATAGGATTTTTCTGAAAACTGCTGGCTAAATTTTATTAAGTCGGCCAGACAAATTTTAAAGGTTTAGTTCTTTTTCTTGCGGGTCTTCATTTTATTTTATTTTATTTTTATTTCATTTCTGTTTTTTGGGGGGGGTTTTGGGTCCAGACATGGGGCCTGAACTCTGGGCCTGGGCACTGTCCCTCAGCTCTTCAGCTCAAGGCTAGCGCTCTATCACTTGAGCCACAGCGCCACTTCCGGCTTTTTTTCTGCTTATGTGGTGCTGAGGAATCGAACCCAGGGTCTCATGCATACAAGGCAAGCACTCTACCACTGAGCCACCTTCCCAGCCCCAGGTCTTCATTTTAGAAGGACATATCACCTGTTTGAATGGTTGCTAGTAGAGAGTAGCAATCATGGCAGCCCTTTTCAACAATTGCCCCATTTTCACAATTCTTTTACCAGTTCTAGAAGTGTGGATTTTTAGAACTAAATGTTATCTATAATAATACTACTGATAATAATAACTAACAACACCTACCATAGGCTACACTATTAGACACTTAATACATCCCATTTTTTTACATTTACTGATATTAAATATTATAAACATGATACAACAATCTTAAAATCAGATATTTATTTCCTTCATATTTCCTTCATATTATTAGTGAAGAAGAATTTCTGGGAGATTAGTTAATTTGAAAGTCAGGGTACAATAGAGAATTTAAGTTCAAAGCACCTATA